GCCGGGAATTCGGGAGCTGGCCTGGCCTTTCCTCTCTCCACACCCTCCTCCCTGCTCTCTTACCGTTGGAGAAGCTGACGATGCCCTCTTCCACCACCAAGGTGGGCATGGCCCCGCTGCCCTGCAGCATCGACACCACCTTGTCGTGGGAGCAGTTCCTGCGGGCACAGCAGAGCCCGGTCAGAGCTGCCCGGCCCCAGGGCAGCAATTTTCATCTTGGAGAAGCCTCCCCGTGCTGCTCAGAGCCAGATTGGGCCCCGCTGTGATTCCCTGGATTCTCGCCAGCCTCCCGAGGGAGAGCCTGGGTCCTGCCCCATGAGTGGGCACCAAGGAATTGCCACGGGAATGCCTGTGGCCACCCTGAGGAGGGCCATGGCACAGGAAGGCAGACTTAAGCTACACCCAGACCCAGAAAATTCTTTTTCCTTTAAATAACACAGCGCTGCAGGTCTGTCCTCGCCTGTCCTAATTCTGCACGAGAAGAAAATGCAAGGTGAATATAAGGTGTAATTTTGTAGGTGAAAAAATCTTGGGATGCCCTTGGAGAAGGGCATGGGCCAGGCTGGGACAATGCCTGCCAAAAGCAGGGCTCAGAGGACAACCCTGTGCCCGGTCTCTTTTTTCTGGCAGTGCTGCATCAGCCAAGAGTTCGCTGGATCAGCTGAAACGTGAGAACCTGATCCCTGACCGAAGCAGCATCAGTTTAACCTTTAAATATTCATCACTCTCTCTTGTCCTGTAGCCTCCTCTAACCCTTTGCTCTTGGTTTTTATGCAGGGACACACACAAGGACACAGCACTGGTGAGGGCACAAATCCCTCTGGTCCCATTGCTTTGGGTGCACAAACAATACACAGAATTAACTTCTGTGTACAAATGGGATTCCCAGGTGGATTTAAGGTTATGTTGCCATTGTGGGAGTGGTTCCCGGGCTGGATGGGGCTCTGCTGCTCTCCAAAGCAGAGCCTCAGGTGTTTAACACACACAGATTAACTCAGAGTGCCTGGAACTGGGGTGGGCTGCGGTCAGAACCCAGGCCATATAAACTGTCTTGTGCAGAGAACTCAGAGGAGGAGCAGGGGTGGAGAAAATGCTCCTCTTAGAGCCAGGAAATGCTCCTCTTAGAGCCAGGAAATGCTCCTCTTTTGGACAGCAGCACTGAAGGAGCTGTCCCCAGCTGTCCCCACAGGGGGACCAGGGCCAGCAGCTCCCGTTCCCCCTGCCCAGGAGTGACCACAGCGAGTGCCCAGCCCCTGCCCCCGGCCCTGGTGCCCTGCACAGCTCCTACCTCATGTCCAGCCCGTTGAGGAACAGGATCCTGTCTCCAGCTTTGAGGGCAGCCTTCTCCGCCGGGCTCCCTAAAGGCACACGGACAAAGGGGCCCCAGCTGCAGCACCTCTGGCTGGGACGGGGGTCCAGGGCCCCCCCCGGGCAGGGCACCCCCTGCACCCGGCTCGTCTGGGTGGGCCGGGGCCGTTCACCAGCCGGGTGCAGCACCAGCCTGCACTGGGAGCACTGGTGTCATTTTGGGACGGTCGCTGAATGCGTTTCCCACTTCTCACAACGAGGAGTGGATAAAGCCAAACCAAACTGCACCAAAGATGTTCATTATTCATTATTCCACTGGAAAAGCTCCCCCACTGAGCCTTGGGAAAGTCCCTTTTGCTCTGTTCTGGCAAACAGCACTTAACATTCCAGGTTCAGAGCAGAGATCTGTCAGCGATGCCCCGAATCTCGTGTTCTTACCCGGCAGCACAGACTCGATCCACACCGGGGCATGGCCACGGAGCGTGAAGCCAAAGCTCCTGTTGCCTTTATAAACTCGCACGGTTCTGGGGGTGAGAAAGGCAAACAGGACATCAGAGTAGAAGATCCAGCCCTTGTTTCCTCCCCCAGCCCCTCCACAACCCTGTTAGCCCAGGTTCTCCTGAGTGCTCAAATCCCCAATGCTCCCAATGTCCCCTTCGACACCAAAGTGTCTTTCAAATGTGGTTTCAAAGTGGAATAGAGGATAAATGTGTAGATCTAAAGAATAAATATATATCTAAAAGCTAAAATCATCTGGTTCCAACCCTCCCATGGCACAGAGATGGAACTGGATGATCTTTAGGGGCTCTTCCAACCCAAAGCAGTCTGTGATTCTTTATTGCAGAGAATTAGAGAGACAATGTGGTTCAGGGAGCAAAGGTCTCACAGATGATGAGAGAGGAATTAAATTCCTCTGGGAAATTTTGGAAGGAGCATTAGGAAATCTCCCTGCTGGGAGGCTGATTGGAGCTGGGAGCTGTTCCTGCAGGGAGCTGGGGGAAGGCAGCATGACTGAGATAATTTTCAATTAGTGGGATCCTGCGCTGGCAGGGAGGGAGGCCGGGCTGGGAGTGAATTTTGGACAAGTCACGGGGAAGAGCAGCCTGGCAGGAAGGGCTGGTGCCCTGCTCGGGCAGGCTCTGCGGGCAGCACGGAGCCCTGGCCATCTGGGCACCGGCAGGGAAGTGGGTTCATCCCGAGCTCCTGGGACTGTCCTGCCCTCCTCCCACAGCCTGGCACCCGGGCACCTGCTGGGCAGGGCAGGGCAGGGCCAGACACCGATTTTAGGGTGGGAAAGGACCTTTCAGATTGTGAGACCCACCTGGCGAGCCAGCACCACCCCTGTGCTGGCCACTGACCCTGGCCTCGAGTGCCCCATTCACCTTTTCCTCAGCACCTCCAGCAGTGGGGATGCCACCTCTGCCCGGTGCCAGCGCCTGGCAACCCTCGCTGGGCAGGAGTTTTCCCTGATACCCAAACTAAACCTCCCCTGTGCAGCTTGAGGCCATTTCCTCTCATCCTGTCACTCCTTACCTGGGAAAAGAGACCAACCCAGCCTGGCTCCAGCCTCCTTTCAGCCTCCCCTGTGCCCCGAGTCCTGCTGGCACAGCTGGGTACCCTGAGTCCTGCTGGCACAGCCTGAATCCTGCTGGCACAGCTGAGCACCCTAAATCCTGCTGGCACAGCTGAGCACCCCAAATCCTGCTGGCACAGCTGAGCACCCCAAATCCTGCTGGCACAGCTGGGCACCCCCCCCAGTGAGGAGCAGCCATCCCCGCTCAGCCTGCCTGTGCCACCCCAGCTCCCCACCCAGCTCTTCACCCAGCCCTGCAGAGCCGAGGGGACGCTGAGGGTGCCCCGGAGCTGGGACAAGGGGCACAGAGCTGCCACGAGGGGCACGGAGCTGCCCACCCTTCCAGAGGCAGAGCTCTCTGTCCATCCCCATGCCAGGAGAGCTCCCCACCGCAGACGCCCCTCCGCGTCCCCGGCTCCCCTCCCGCCTGGCATCGCACGGAGCCGCCCGCGGGCACTACCTGCGGGCAGCCCCCGCGGCCGCGCTGCCGCCGGGGAGCGAGGTGGTTTTGCAGAGGCTCTTGCCGAGCTCCTCGTGGCTGCGGGGCACGGAGCTGGCGCGGGTGGACACCAGCAGCCGCTCGGGGTGGTCCTCGCTGCGGCTGCGGCGCAGGCGGCTGCCGTGCTCGCTCTTGGAGCGGCACAGCTTGCTGATCAGGCTCTGCGACACCACCTCGTCAAAGCGCTGCCGGTGCTTCTTGGGGATGAAAATCCTGCGGAAGGCAAGGGGGCAGAGTGAGGAGCGCGGCCCGGGCAGCTGCGGCGCGGAGCGGAGCTGCGGGGCCGCGCATCCCCGGCAGGGCAAGAGCTGAGCTCCTCCTGTCAGCCTGGCACCCGTCCTCGCAGAGCTGGGGGTGCTGGGGACACCGGGGGGACACCGGGGGTGCTGGGGACACCGAGGGAGTTGGGGACACTGGAGGGACACCAGCTGCATCTCTTCCCCCATCCCATGCAGAGCTCCATTGGAGAAATGATGTTGGAACCTTCCCTCAGACCCGCCTCTTCTGGGACTCCCAAAACGCTGTCCCCCATCTCCTGGCCCAGACTCTGCTCTCCCGGGCCCCGGCCGTGCACGTTCCACCCTCCAGCTCCCTGCACAGCCAGGCGGGAGCCTCGAGCCCTTGGGAGATGCTGGAGCTGCAGGGCCGGGCAGGGCGATGCCGCAGGCAAGGGGACACCCCCAGAACTGGCTCTGGTTCGGGTCACCTCCCTCTGCCCCTTGGTAGGAGCAGCCAAGTGGCCTTTGTGCCCTGCAAGGAGCCTCAGGACACTCAGGGGATGCACGGGGAGTGCACAGCAGGATCCCAGGAGAGAGGGAGGGAGGAACACTCACTCCCACCTGGGCCTGGGTGAGCTCCCTAACCCCGGAGACACTTTTCCTTTTCCTCTTCCTTTCCCTTTTCCTTGTGCCTCACAGCAGCCAGACCCCAGCAGCTGCTCACCTTCCCCCGGCCTGCACTGGCACATTTCGGGGCTCCTGGAGGATCTGGCATCCCCGGGTGTTTCTATAGCAACTCCTGCAGCTGCAGCTCGTGGAGACGGAACCAGCCCCGCTAGCGCCGGCCCCTCGCGGGTGGGAGAGCGGGGCCGGTGCTTCAGCACAGCCCCGAGGGCTGGCAGCTCAGCCCGGGCACCGCCTGCCCCACCAGAGCGGGGACTGGGCCAAACTGGTGCCAGAGCACCCAGAGGAAGCTGCTCTGAGGGGTGGCACCAGCGGGATGCAGCTGGGGCTGGCAGGGGATCCCACAGGGCTCCCTCGGGCAGCTTCACCAAGGGAACACAAAATCCTGGCTGGAGACGGAGGAGGAGAGGCTTCAAATCCCGAATCCAGCGGGACCAGGACGTCTCTGTTTCCCCCAGGCAAAGGCAGAGCTCAAAACAAGAGTTGGAGGCAGCCCACAAGCCACCCGAGGCTGGCAGCTGCTCACGCAGAGCATCTGGTGACAATTTAAAACAAGTAACACATCGGTGCAATTCACAGGTGATTTGTGATTAAGCAGCAACTAAAAAAGAGTGACATTTTGCTAATAAATAGTTCACCCCGTGGGACGGGGGAGGATGTGGGTCCCCCAAGCCTCTGCCCTGGGCTGGGCACCCACCAGGGAGGAGTCCGGGTTCCTCACAGGCAAAATGAGCACAATCCCATTTAATTGGCCAAATTACATCGGCCCTGCTCGTTCCAGCAGAGCTGTCCCACTTTGCAGGAGCCTCTGCCTCGGCACTGGGCTGAGGAGCTCAGCCCCAGGCCCGGCCCTGGCACTGCCCCAGGACTGGGACACAGCAGGGCCAGACAGGAGGATCTGCCTGGCTGCTGCACACAATCCCAGCGCAGCAGGCAAACCCTTTCCGTGGCTGCTCCTGCAGGGTCCTGCATCCCGCGGGATAAACCCGGCTTTGTGCACGGCCCCGAGGAGCAGCACCCAGCTGGGGCTTCCCTCTCCCAGCAATCCCCACCGGGATGTACGGAGGTGCCCACCCTGGCTGTGGGGGTCAAGCAGGAGTGGGGTCATACAGTGCTGGCCTTGTGCCCTCTGCTTCCTCCTCCTCCTCCTCCTCCTCAGGTGCTCCAGGTCAGCCCTGCTCTGTTTCGTGTTGCAGGGGTGATGGGAAAGGCACCCCCATCCCTGAGCCCTGTGCCAGCTCCCATGCCCGGTGCCACAGAGCCCCAGGGCACCAGCCCTCCTCTGCAGCAGCTTGTGCACTCATTCAGAACTCGGTGTGCTTGGAGACGTGGATGTGAATTCAGGGCACTTTCCAGGCCAGGAAAGGTCCCAGATGCTCCAGGCTGCTTTACCTTCACTCCATCCCCAAAGCAGCTTGGCCAGGATGGTGGCAGAGTGCCGCTGTGCCCGTCCCCTGCCCTTGGTCCTGCTCGGGCTCCCTTTGGCACCTCTCAGCCTGTGCCAGGCTCCCACCCACAGCTGCCAGGAGGGTCCCTGCGCAGGCAGTCCCGTTCCTGCAGCCCGCCCTCGCCGAGCTGCCTCCCCCACGCCCTGCCAGCGCTCCGGGCAGCCCCTGTGCCACATGCCCGTGCCCTGCCAGGGGACAGTCCCGCCCGGGATGCCGGTGCCGGGGCTCCGCGGGGCAGGACGTGTCCCTGGGGAGGGCAGCGGGGGCGGCCCCGGCCGCTGGAGCCGCCACAGGTTTGCTGACCAG